GTTGTCAGAAGGGACCATTCACTGGAGAAGGATGTTATGCTTGGTAAGGTGGAGGCCCTCAACGAGATGGATTGACACATTGGCTGCAGCGATGGGCTGAAGAAGAGCAAGGATCATGGAGCTGGCGTGGGACTGGGCAGTGTTTCATTCTGCTGCACATAGGGTCACGATGAATCGGAGATGACTTGATGGCACCTAACAACAACAACAACAACACAAGGCAAAAATTAAAATGGATGCAAGGTGATGGGAGCATAAGTGGAGATTTTATTTACTTTATTATTGTTCTAATATTGTTTGTAGGATATATTAAAAAATAGAACTGAGAAAGAAAATATAGACAGCTGGGTTTCCACGTGCAGAAGAATAAAGCTGAATCCATACCTTACATCTTATGAAATTAACTCATAATGGATCAATGACCTAAATGTAGGAACTAAAACCATAAAATTCTTAGAACAAAATGTAAGTGTGATGCTTTGGGATCTAGTGAAGGAAATAAAATCAGCAGAAGCTGAAAAGAGAAGAACCTTCCTCCAGAGCTGACAGAGAGTGTTTTCCTGGAGCCAGCACTCCAAATTCAAACTTCTAGCCTCCTAGACTGTGAGAAAATTAATTTCTGTTGAAGCCATCAACTTCTGATATTTCTGTTACAGCAGTACTGGATAACTAAGACAAAATGGTTTAGTGTTGTTGTTATGTGCCGTCGAGTCGGCCCCGACTCATAGCGACCCCTCCTCGGGTTTCCGAGGCAGTATCACTGCAGAAGTAGATCGCCCCATCTTCCTTCCGAGGAGTGGCTGGTGGGTTTGAACCGCCAGCCTTCTGGTTAGCAGTCAAGTACCTTAGGCACTGTGCTACCAGAGCTCCCAAATGGTTTAGTAGTTCCTCAAAAAGTTAAATGTAGAATTATCATATGACTCAACAACTCCACTTCTAGGTATATACTCAAAATAACTGAAAGCTGAAACACAAACAATACTTGAATGTCTGTGTTCATTGCAGCACTGTTCACGATAGCTAAAAGGTAGAAATTACCTGAATGTCCATCAATAGATAAATGGATAAACAATGTGGATTATACATACCATGGAGTATCACTCAGTCGTAAAGAGAAATGAAATTCTGATACATGCAACAACATAGATGAACCTTGAAAACATTATGCTGAGTGAAATAAGATAGTCAGAAAAGTACAAATATTATATGATCACATTTATAACAAATACCTTGATTAGGCAAAGGTATTGAGACCAGAGTTTATTAGTGGTTACCAGAAGTGTGAGGGAGGGGAAAAGAGAAAGTCATTGCTTCAGAGACTCTGAGATTCTGTTAAGGGTGATAGAAAAATTTAGATGTGGAGTGGTGATGGTTGCACCACGTGGGGAGCATAATTGATGTTAACTGAGTTGTACGTGGTAAGAAATATTGAAATGACCATTTATTATATATATTTTTTTTACCACAATTTAAAATAAGAAAAAGAAAGAAATCAGGCTTCGAGTGAGTGAGAACAGAAGGCTCCCTTGCCTGTGGGTTAATCTACTTCTTGAAGGCACACACAGGGATCTTTCAGTTGATCAGCAGGATGGGAAGGCTAGGAAGTCCTTCCCTATCTTTAGAATACTCCAGCCTTCAAAGCAAAATTAGTAAATAAGGTATTTATATCTCTAATAAGGAGACATCAATGGCAACCTAACCAAGTGCTTGAAAAGAGCTATTGAAAAACTCAGAATGAACTGAGAAGGCTAAATTTCAAAAATAGATTAGCATATGTTAGGAAAAAATAGTACTGTTATAATGATGAAAGTAATATATGTTTATTGATGAAAATTAGGAAAACAAAGAAAAATATAAAAACCCATATAATTAAGTACTATTGTGCAATACTGATGAGAATGTGACTGGTACCTTCTGGTAGGTGATTTGCCAATTTGTTTCAGAAGCTTAACGGTGGCCACTGACACGGTAATTTCCTAGGAGGTGATTTTTCAAAGGAAATAAGCAGACTGATATAAAAAGACTTAAGTACAAAAAAATCATCACAGCTGAATTTTTAATAGTAAGAAAAAAATGGATCTAATCTAAATATCTGAAAATAGGGAGTTGCTAAAATAAAATGATACATTCACAAAAAGGCCAATAAAAATCATGCTTCAGAAGAGTACTTAATGAATAGAGAATATGTACAGGCAAGAGTAAGCAGATTCCTACGTAATATGGAGGGTATGATTCACACGTTGTGGTGCACACTGTTTTTTTACACAAATAACACATGCTTTATATGCTTTTTCACAGACTGTGCAAGCCCCTTGCACATTACATTCCTATGCGTGCCATGTACATTATATGCATGTGTATGTTATTTGCATGGGCATGTTACATGTGAAAAATATAATACCTTCCTAGAGATAGAAAAATATCTCAAGAAAATATGCCAAAATGTCAAGAGTGATTTGGTGTTGAGGGTTGAGATTATAGGTGATTTTCATTTTTCTCCCATGCTTTTCTGCATTTTCTAACTTTTATCATTAAAATAAGAGTTTAAAGATTATTCATAATCCCAGTACCTAAAGTTAACCACTGATTGTATTGTGACGTAGTTTCTTCTAATCTCTTCTTCTGTGCATGCATAAGTACTTATAATTTTTATATATCCAACATTGGAATGATACTGCATATACAATTTTATATTTCCACCTATTCTCATCAACCCCAGCACACACAAAAAAAAAAGTTTATAAGTATTCTACACCAGCCTAGAAATAACTTGCAAAGTTCCAGTAAATAGTGATTAATCAGCTGGTGATTCTACATGCTTTGAAAATATAATGATTAACTATAGCAATGGATAGTTTGTTTAGCTATTTAATAAAGAATTCCAGTTTTGTTTTTGTGTTGTGTTTAAGTGTAATTTAACATCAGATGGTGGTTGAGTGAGATGACCTTTAAAGTCCTTTGCAATCCTGTGGTTCTGTTTCTGATGGAACAACATTTTCGACCTCTTCTCTCTGTTAATTATTCCTTTGGGAAACCTGGCTGTTCAGACCGCAAGATCATAACCACATTGTGCTCTAAATTCAGGCAGTGTCTAGGAGGAAATAAATGTCCCTCAACAGGTTATAAACGTCACCTATACAGATCTCTATAGAAGTATAAAATTCTTACACAGCTAAAATATTATTATTGTCATAATCAGTAGAAAATATGTAAATAGATCAGATCAAAAGACATTTTAAGATGGAGAGGAGCTTGTCTCTAAGGGCCTCTTCGTTCCTTTGAGAGGTTTGCTTTTGGAGTGTGTCTGTCCCCTGGTCTCTGTTAATTATGACTTTTAAATGAAAGAAAATACCTATTTTGGAAGTTTGCCCTAGTACCCCTCAAGTTACAGTATATTTTTCAGGTTTTGGAAAAGGAAATTATGGGAGGGTCTTCCTGGTTGGCCATCACCATCTATTTTAACCATATTCTTTATTTTTATATACATATATATATATGTTGTTGTTGTTGTGTGCCATCAAGTCTGACCGAACTCAGAGCAACCCCTTCTTAGGTTTCCCAGGCAATATCACTACAGAAGTAGATTGCCCAACCTTGCTTCCGAGGAGTGGCCGGTGGGTTTGAGCCACCAGCCTTCTGGTTAGCAGTCAAGTGCCTTAGGTACTACACTACCAGAGCTCCCTATATATACATATCTATATCTATATCTATATCTATATCTATATCTATATATCTATATATATAGATATATATAGATATATAGTTATCTGGTACCGTAGTGCCTAAGGCACTTGACTACTAACCAGAAGGCTGGAGGTTCAAACCCACCAGGCACTCCTCAGAAGGAAGATGGGGCAATCTACTTCCGTAGTGATACTGCCTCGGAAACCCAAGGAGGGGTTGCTGTGAGTTGGGTCCGACTCAACAGCCCTTAACAACAACAACATCTGTGTGTGTGTGTGTGTGAGAGAGAGAGAGACAGAGACAGAGAGAGAGAGAGAGATAATATCTTTTTTAAAATAATAAAGCTGAGATATGTTATGACCAAATAGATCAACAGCAACAAAAGGAGTATATCTGTTTCAGATTTACTGCCTTTGACTTACAGTTATTTGATTTCATGTAACAATTATTTTTAACTTTCTGTGGGTTTCAGCTAAATTATGGAATTCTATGCACCAGTAACTTCAGGGGACCTATGACAAAAAAAAAAAAAAAAACCCATCTTCCTTCCACCAAAACACACTGTCACCAGGAAATGCTCTGTTGCTTTAATATTGATACAGCCTTATCAAGTTGCTTTTTAATTATTTGAAACCTATGAAAAATTTGCTGTCATAGGAATAAGTTCTTCTTTCATATAGAAAATATCCATTGCTCATCAATCTTAGGTTTACATGGTTGACTCAGAAATGCATACCCAGCTCTGGCTCTGTTTCCTATCAGGGTCTTTGTCAAAAACTATTTTTAATGAAACTTCTAGGCATTTGTAACAAAAAGGGCTCACTCATATGTAGACTTAGTACCCCTCTTAGTAAACTGAGAAAGTGAATTGATTTTCACTTCCACTCTTCTCATTTATTTAGCTTTTACATTTTTCCCTATAGTTGAATAGTTATTTTCCCATTAATGTCACATGGACAGTATGACTTCTCTTATCTCCTCCCTTCATTGTTTTCACCTTTGTCGTCTACTAGTAATTATAACAGCAGCAGCAGCATCCTTTCAGCAGTTACGGTTGGAAAATAAGCATCTTACTCCAAAGCTAAAAATCACCCAGTCACACAGAGGACCTTTAGTTGATTTAAGCAAATTTAAAGTCCAGCACAGCTTGGACAACAGGGCTACTACTTGGTTAATGTCTCATCCTAGCCCCCCTACAGTGTTCATTCTTAAAGCACAATTGGCATATTTAATTCTATCATGTTAACTTAAGATACTTTATTTGTAATTCTATCTCCAATATGTATTTTATTTGTGGTTTTCTTTTTCTTTTTCAGCTTCTTTGACTGTTATTTCAGTAAAGGCAGTCTCAGGCATGATCACTTTTTCTGTGACGGATAAAATGCAACTAACTTATCCCATCTTCTATATCATGTTTATCATCATGATAGCATCTTGTGTTTTCCAAGTCAAGTAAGTTAGTTTCTACATACTCAGTATTCTTTCGACATCCCTGTGCATCTCTGAGCATGGATCTTTATTGGCTTCAGACTATAATTAAATTCGCCACAACTGATTTCTAAGGGTGAAGGGTCCACAGCTAATCCTCGACCAACATGGCTTGCTTTGTCCTTTGCATTCAGTAATACGTTTTGACTAAGCATTGCCTTCATGTCTTCTGAGTTCTAAAGTGCGGCCATAATCCAGCTAAGTGCACTTTGATACTTTCCTGATGCTCTTCTGCTTGTAATTAATATCCATCATACACAGGTTGTCATTAGCAATAAATCAAAGGGGCAGGTCCACATCCAGGATTTCATTCTAAATATAGGAAATACATGAACCCTTCACCTTCATTTCTTAGCTCATGCTCATTAATTGCCCAGAGATGGACAAAACCAGACGTTTGGCCGGGAGGGGAATCCTTTCTCCAGAACTTTGCATCTTTAGCCAAAATTTTCTTTGAACCCTTGAGATCGCAGAGTGATTGTTTTATGTTTCTCTTGGGGCCTAATAGTGGTGACATGGTGCATTTTTAGTTTCTTATTCTTCTCTTCCCCCCCTCCATCTGCTCTAATCATTTTCCCTCCCTTTCACAATGTCATTTATACCTTTGCCTGCTGGACTCATTTCACAATGTCATTATGCTTTTGCCTGCTGGGCTCTCTTGAGTCAAACAGAAAGTTTTCTGTTCACCCCCAAAATGCTATGCAAAAGCATCATCCCAGTGCGAGCTAGGAAGTCAAAGCCCAGTAAAGTCAGATTGTAATGGGTTGGATATAGACTGTGGTACAATGAGGTCTGTGGAAACTTACAGGAAAAACCCAGTGTTTTGTCACTGTTTTGTTGATCATTCCCTTTTAACACTTAGTCTGTTTCTAATTCTTGAATCTGACTATATTGCTTCTTGTCTCTTTCTTCTGAATTCATCAGGACTCCTGTAATATCTTTTGGAATTTGGAGATCATCATTACCTTTATGAGTTTAAAAGGCAGATAGATACACAATAGAAGGGAAAGAACATTCCAATCACCCTTGTTTTGATCCCTACATCCTTCACACTATAGAGCTGTGGTTCTCAACCCTGACTTTCCATTAAAATCATCTGAGGCAGTTGATTTGTTTACACATGTATATGTACATTCATGTATATATGCATATGTATATACACACATATATGTGTGTGTACATACATAGACACACATGCATGCAAACATACACAGGCTTAAGACCACAAATATTTTTTTTCAATTGCACAAGAGTAAGATCTAAGCAGTAGTGCTTTTTGAAAGCACTCAGGTGGTGTCAGTGCAATCCATTGCTTTAGAAGAGGAAAGGTCTTGTCCCCTATGGGGACAGCGCAGCTGTCAGAACCTGAATTCATGTTGGTGGCCAAAGTAAGTGAGAAGCTGAACTCACCACATGTGCTCTGCAGCTGGAGCACTAAGCATTGCTTTTGAAACATTAAACATTCCTTTGCTTCTCCATCTTCTTTCTTGGCACGTGGCACGTCAATGGATAGCTATGCTGCTCCCCAGATATGATATTTAACAGATTCGAGGGTCTATCCTAATGAATCAGCCCCAGTGTGATACTGGTCCAGCAGCTTGAATCACTTCCAACTCAAACTTCTGTGGCCTCGGAATATGATTAATTGCTTTTCATTGTTACTGTTGTTGGTTTAAACAGACCATAAAACCTGACATCTGATCTCATACATCAGATGCATATAAGCTATGACTGCTGATTGGAAATGCCCTTTTACTGCACTTCCTTTCTCTTTGTAGTTCTCACTAAAAAACATGCGTTTCTTGAAGTTATTGTTAACTTCTTGCTGAGCATCTCTTAAAGCCAGAGATTCAGTAAGTGCCTTCTGCTTTAGGTTCCTGAATCAAGCTATGAAACTCTACAATATGACGATGGTGGTACCTGTTAACCATATTTTCTTTACAACCAGTGCCATTCTCTCAGGTAAGCTTTGGCTTTCTATGCGTAGGTGATTCTCCACACACACGAACATAAATCAAGCTGTCTTTTGGCAGTAAGGAACTGTGTAGTCCATACCACTCTCGCCTCCACCCAGTACCTGAATTTCCTACATAACCTTCTCTAATGGAGGTCATTCTACTTTGCATGGTTGCACCCTAGTGCTCACTACCTCCCAAGACAGCTCCTCCCATTTTGGATCACTCTAATTATTTGAAGAGCTCTAATCATTAGGAAGTGTTTTCTTATACTAGAACTGAAATTAGCTTCCCTGTGAATTCAAGGTGCTCATCTTTGTTTTGTTTTCTGGAGTCTTCCCCTTGCCAGCCCTTCTGATAATCGAAGCAGCTGTAATGGGCCTCTTGAGTCTTGTTGCTGGGCCAAACATCCCCAATTCCATTAACTTTCCCTCCATGCCCCTTACCAGCTTGAACCAGAGAGTAGGGCCCAATATTCAGTGTTCCAGGGAGGCCAGGCAGACAAGAACAGAAACTATCACTTTCTCTGCTCTGGCCTCTATTTTTCTACTGTTGCAGTTCTTTTGTTTTTGTGGACAGTTATTTTTTTTATATGACAGACACAATAGTGTTAAAAGAAGAAGTATAAATTCAAAACATTTCAAATTAAAATACAGTGTATTTTAAAATATCATTTATAAATTTGATTTATTGGTAGGCCCTATTTTTGATGTATTTATCACTTTATCATCTTAGGAATTCACATCTCGATGCACAGTAAATATATTTGGTAAAAAATTAGGGATTATCAGTTTCCTAATTGGCACATTTTCTTCTTTCATGGCATTAATGTGACAACCAGTGAGCAATTTTTAAAAATAATTAGTACGTTTTCTGTTTCCCAAATTTGAACTGTATGTTTAAAGATAAAGACATCTAATTTTTTTTAAGCATTTTATGCTTGTTGAAAAAAAAAAAAAATGTGAAAAACAGATAGAGAATTTGTGTGTCCTAGAAATAAGGCCCAAAAGAATGATAGGCATTATAAACAGCCTGGTACTTAGTATTAATGTGCATGAAGGTGTATACAGAATGTGGTTCCCATGAGTAAAAGAGCTTTCAAAGAGGACCAACAGGGCTGGGTCTCAGTACTTAGCACACCAAGTAATGAATGAGTCAGGGAGGCTGGGCCTTTCTGAATGCTAACAGGTCCTCTGTTACAGAAGTAGAATATAGATGGAGTTTCTTGACTAACTTCTCTCTGCCTCCATCAAAAAGTACAGTTTAAAATAAAAATGATAGGGCAGTGAAACGATTCTGTCTGATACTGTGATGGTATCAGACACATGATATTATGTACTTAGCAAAACCCATAGGGCTGTACAACATGAAAAGTGAACCCAAATGTAAACTGTGGACCTTAGTAATAATGGATCAGTATTGGTTCATCAGTTCTTACAAATGTACCACAAGAATGCAAGGTATTAATAACAGGAGACACAATGTGATGGGGTGGGGGGCGGGGAATGGGAACTCTCTAATTTCTACACAGTTTTTCTATAAACCTAAAACTTCTCTAAAAAATAGTCTGCTTTCAAAACATGAGATACCAAGAGTTTGCCTAGTAACTCAGTAAAAGGTCTTGTTTTGTTCGTTTTTACTAACCAGTCACTGCTGACAGGCCACTCTCTACAAGCATTCCCATGGGGTCAGATAGCATGGGACCACCCTCCTAGAACTGAGTTGCACAGTTTTTATCAAGAGACTTAAAACTGTTTCTACTCTTAGAAGCAGAAATTCCACTTGTATAAATCCATTCTAACAACAATAAATCCTAAAATACTGGGAGGGGGGGCGCAGATATGTACAAAGTTCATTGTTAGTTTACTATAGCCAAAAAAAAATGTAGAAGCAATTTAAAATGCTTTTTAGAGAAATGGGTATTATGGTGCATCAGCATAGCCAAATAACATGAAAACATTAAAAATGATGATTACAAGATGTGCATAATAACATGGAAAAATGCTTCCAAAATGGCATTCATTTGACACATACTCATTACAATTGGACACAGCTTCTTCCTGTAACAGCTTTGTTCTCCAGATGAGTTGCTCCCTGAGGATAGGACTCCGTCTTGCTCCCTGTGGTATCTCTAACACCAGAACAGCCACTGGCACATAGGAGACTCTCAATAAATATTTAGTTACTATCTGGCAAGGCTAACACCACACACACAAAATTAATTCCAGGTAATATGTAAGTTAAAGCTATATTGTTTAATAAAAACACTAAGAAGGCTTTAGATCAAGAGAAACCATTGAGACCAACAGGGAAGGGAGAAAATCCATCAGAGTAGATAACACATCCATGTTTTTTTCCTTCACCCAGAAAGACGATGGGAAGAAGGAGATGGGGGCTGGGATTGACAGTGATAAATAGAGCTTTGGTAGCCCTTCACTTGCTAGAGTATTCTCCAGGGCCTCTGCTGCCCAAGTGGGCCCGTGGCCAGAGCAACAGGTCACACAGCATTGCCAAGGGTGGTGGCATAGACAGCAGAAGCCAGAGCACCCAGAGTCCGTCCACCCAGGCACTCAGGTCAGGCCTGTTAATCCTTGGCCTAAAACTGTAGGTGGGAAGTGATCACTGGAGCTTTGTTTCCTTGCATATTTCAGAGGCGCAAATCCTGGACCTTATGAGAAATTTCTGTTTGCAACAGTTATGTCAGTTAGTTGACCCACTGGTACTTAGGTCCACAAATCCATTTTCTTTTCAGAATAATTGAAAATATAAGTATACCATACAATTTTTTAAAAATTAACCTATTGAACATGTATTTCAAGGATAATTCAATTTAAAAATATATATTAACACAATTTAAAAACAACATGTACCTATTATAAATATTCTTACTCTAAGAGTAATTTCATCCTCTCTTCCTATTATAGGTATCATATTTTATCAGGAATTCCTTGGTGCAGCTTTTCTCACTGTATTTATATATCTTTTTGGGTGAGTAAATGCCTAAGGGGTAAGATACATGAAATTCTATTACTTTTATATAGGATTTTTGGCACTGTACCTGAGGTATAGAAAATTGGAAAATTATATAGGAAACATCAGTTTCCTGAACTCCTAAAAGAGACATATTTTTCAACTTAACACCCCTCACAGGGCTCGGTGCCTTTGACTTTGTGATTTAGGGATCTTTCTGAGAGTTCTGAAACATTGGAGATTTTCACTTCCAGCTGAAGTGAAGATAAATGCACTGGCCCTTATAGTTACTCAGAGGCCTTTTATGCTATATCAGGCTTACTCCACCCTTGGAAGCCCCTTAGATTAGATTTCAAGCCAATCATGGGACCATGAATGCCTCTAGGACCACCCAGAATAAAGGGCCAAAACTGGGGCAGCTCCCAGGCTTTGGACCTAATGACACCAGGTTGATAGCATCCCTTATTTTGTGTCAGGGTGACCAGCTAGAAGCCTGCCTGGAGATTTGGTGGGCAGCTTTGTTGGCATTACTTGCAAACAGAGAGAGGAACTTTGACAGAATAGCACCAATGCATAGAAGCTTCCATTGGCTCCAACTGACAGTCCATTAGCTGCTTCTTGATCTGTTATTCGGCATGATTATTGTTATGCAAACTTGAGCCCAGACTATTTTCAGTGTAGGAAACCATCTATCTGAAAATTCAATTTCATAAAATATTTGGGTGAGGCCAAACTTCTAAGGCCTGGAAACTATGACTATTCTTATGGCCAAGGACAACTAAATTTCTTAGAAAATTAAAGAATAAATTATTTTTTTTCACTGTTGTTGCATGCCAGTAATGAGTCTGGGCATGCATGAATAGAAAATGAGACCTAATGTCTGCCCAAAGGGCTTAGAGCCTGAATTAGCCTCCAGATGGTTAAAACCTGGGGCAGAGATTTACTGGATGCTGCCCAAGTCTTGGTTCTGGGTGCAAGTATGATTGGCTATAGCAATTAAGACAAATTCTAGGCAGCTTACCATGAGAAACAGCATGAACAAAACCAATGGAATTTATGTCATCATGTAGATTATGGGGCTCCGTTATTTAATACCATGAGCTGTTTCAGTGTTCTTTATTAATTCTGTTCTTACAGGTGTTTTCTGTCATTCCTTGGAGTGTTTTTGGTCACAAGAAACCGAGAAAAGGAACATCTGCAACAGTCTTACATTGATTTTGGAAATATTCCTGGTAAAATTGTATATTCTTTCATTTATAATAGAAAATTTTATTCTTATAAATTAATAACTGCTGGGTTTTTTTGGTATTATTTTGGGTATTAAATTAATACAAGGCATACTGTTTATCCTCAAAAAACTTACATTTAATGATGAAACCAAAGATGATGTTTTAACTGTAGATGTTTATAGTCATTTCTTGAATGTTGGATTTGCAAGGACACTGGGGCTATAAAAGGACTGACCTATGTTTTGTTTTGAGGTTTTCTTTGAGGTTGCCCTAAATTGGAAAAGGGGAGGGAAAAGAGAGTAGAATGGCTACCAGCAGCAAATGCCTGCAGCCAGGAGAGCCTTTGAAGGAACAACTAAGGATAAGAGGTTAGGCTACTGGAGAGCATCATTCATGGGAAGACTGAGGTGACCTGTGCACTGTGAGCCAAGAGTGACACCACCGTCACCAGAACATGAGTGGCTGCTTTTCCTTCTCCGTAGCTCACTCATACAGAGTGGTTTAGCATGTATCATCTTTCCAGGTCTCTCTCTTCCTGAGAAATAACTCATTTTAGTCTTTTGGACAAGAGAAGCTAAGTTCAGGACAAAACAAACAGTCTGGTGTGCTTCCACCTCTGCCCCCACCCCCAACAATCTCTGACTTTGCTGGAGCCTCGACCTGTAGGTTTCCAAATAGTGGTGGAGATGTTCTCATAGCTTCCTCCACTATTCTGTTAGGATTGAGGCCTTAAAGCAAAAAAACATTAAACCCTTACCCCTGATAGATTCTGTGTTCCCTTTTCTATTTGAGCCATCTCTGGTAGCGTAGTACCTAAACGCACTTGACTGCTAACCAGAAGGCTGGCGGTTCAAGCCCACCAGCCACTCCTCGGAAGGAAGATGGGGCAATCTACTTCCATAGTGATACTGCCTCGGAAACCCAAGGAGGGGTCACTATGAGTCGGGTCCGACTCAACGGCATGTAACAACAACAACATCATCCAAGAGCATTCAATGCAAGAATTGGTGTTGACGACAAGGGTTTGTATTACTGATGTCATGTTTGTTCAAGGTTCTTTGGTAGGAAATGGAGTTTGCTTATTTTTAACTCTATTTTCTCTTTTCACTTCACCGAGCCCCACCCATAGGCTCAGTAACAGCTTTAGAAGCCATTATCAATGACAACTTTTTTTTTAATGTTTGTTATATGTGTTGAACTAAACATGGAAGACACACACTGAGGAGAAAGGTTTAGAGAAGGAGGAATGCTTCCTGTTACTCTCCTGACTGGCCCAAGCTGTGTGCCCTGCCCAGTACTGTAGATCTGGAGGGACAGGGAAAAAGATCCCTCATGTGGATAGGGCATGGTGCTATAGCAGAGGACATGGTGCTTATGGGCCTTTTTATCCTTGACATTTATCTTTTCAGTTTAAAGGGTTACCACATAGTATAAAAAAGGGGAAATAAACTGTGGTCTAGAATGAGAGGAAATTATTAGGACTTAATCTTCTGTAAGAGCTCAAGAGATTTTTTTTTTTTATGATTATTGTCTCCCCAGGGAAACAAATGTTGGACAAAATACAACCCGATTCAAATGACTTATCCTATGGAAGTTTGCCTGATGGAAGTGACTCAACAACGAGCCAGAGTGGAGAGAAGAAAAAGGTCTAAAATGCCGAGAGGGACGGCTGTTGGCCTGTTATTCGATACCACCTTTTAAAAAAATTGCACATGTTCAATTTGTGTCAGCAGCTATTTTATGCTGACATGTGCTAGCATTAGTCTCAGTCTTTTACCCCACCTCAATTTCTATGAACAATCAGGGCCTTCCCAAGCTTTGACAGCCTAATGTTTTCATGGAATGTAATTTGAAGTGTTCCCCACACCCTGGCCCTCTCCCTAGTGATCATCCAACTGGCTAGATCTTAATTAGAGCCTGGCTGCCTAGGCAGGAATGTCACACAAGTATGTGTACTCGTGACTTGGCCATAGTGTGCATAGGTTGATTTTCCTGTGTGGTACATAGTGTGTGTCTCTTTACTTTAGATAAACACTTTAGTCCTACAATCTCCGTCCTCAAAAAAGATCAGAGAACATTCTTTTTTCCTAGGACACCTTTTATGAGTTTCCCTTCAACATCAAAATCTCACCTTTCTATTCCTAAATTAGAATGGTGAATCATCTTTCCTGAAATTGAGCCCTGTTTTAATCTTAATCATCCCTAGAAAATAAAGGGTTGTTTTAAAATTAGAAGTTATAGGTGGTATTCTGTGATGGTATATACCACAATGAAAAGACCTTGGCTGGTAAAATTTTAAAATGTAAGAAAGGAAAAATTGCAGAATTAGGATCTATTTAAAAAAAAAAAAATAGAACTGCAGAATGGTAACATCTTCCTCAGCTGTAAGATTCTATTATAGTTGAATGGAAACTGAAGAAAATTTTCATATTCTATGCCTTTATTAGCCCTAGATCTTATAACTTATCAAGTGGCTTTATATGCTTTAACTTGTAACACAAGTCTCAAAACGCACATTCAAATTCTTAGCAATATTCTCACTATCTACCCTTTTTCCCCCAAGTCATTATCCCAAGCTTTATAAGCTCTTATAGGCAAAAAGGTAGTTGTGATTAGAGACTGCAACATTTAAATCTGTGGACATAGAACAGCCAGTCAGGCAAACTTGGGCCTAGGAAGGAAGCCCAAATGCTACCATGCTTGGATGGTGTTTGTGCTGCAATTGAATTACATGTTTACAAAGAAATATTTGCAGGTAGAATCCATATTTTTTTATTTATGATCTGCCTTATATTTAAATGATGGTCACTGGGTGGTTCATACAATTGAACACTTGACTCCTTGCCCAAAGTTTGGCAGTTTGAACTCACCCAAAGGTGTCTCAGAAGAAAGGTCTGGTGACCTGTGTATAAAAGGTCACAGTACTGAAAACTCTGTGGAGCACAGTTCTACTCTGACATGAGTCAGAGTCAACATAACAGCAACTAATAACAACAACAATAACTGTATTTTAATGAGAAAAAAAGAGGTGGTCTTCACTGTACCCAACATCAAACAATAAGCCCCATCCCATAATGATATTTCAAAACCTTCACATCACTCTGATATGTAAGTCTGTTATTGTTCCAACTGATTATCTTGCTTTGTGTAGGCTGTTTAACTTAGAGCTGTTGAGGCTGTAATAATGACTGCTTTGGCTTTGTTCTTTATCATAACTTACACTCCGGATCAGGCTGGCCAATTCACAAAAGTACTAACCTAGGCCACAAAGCAGAAAGATTCAAATCCATCACTAATGTATGAAAAATAACCCAGGGCACCACCTCTTCATCCACTCGGAGACCAGAAGAACTAGATGGTGCCCTGCTATGACTAATGACCATTCTGAGCAGGGCCACAATAGGCGGATCTTGACAGAAGGTGGGGGGAGGGTTGGAAATCAAAGTCAGTTCTTAAACATTCTTAAAAAGTCCATCCTTACTGGACTGGTTGACACTAGACTCCCCAAGACTATTGCCCTGAGATACTCCGTAAAACTGGAACTGAAACTACCCCCTAAGGTCACATTTTAGCTAAATAAAAGATTAGCTCATAAAATAAAGAACATTACTAGTGAGTACTGTGCACCTGTAAAAAATAACTTATATGAGACCCAATGGTCAACAACTACCCTAAAGCAAAGATGAAAATTTAAGAGGACAGCAAAGCCAGATTACTGGAAGCAGAGCATCCAGAAAGGAGTTAAGTAGAATATTAACACATGGTTAAAAATGTAACCAGTGTTTCTGAACAATTTCTGTAGTAATAGTGGGAACCTAATTTGCTATGTAAACTTTCATTGAAAACACAATAAAATGCTATTTAAAAAATGAAAAAAGAGCCCAGAGCCCATGTCTGGCTTCTGCACTCTGAGTAACAATTCCTGCAATTGTTGAGGGTGTCCCACTAATTCAAATGAGCAGTCATATAATTTATGGCGCACTTACTGAACTGATATGGCATGATGGCATTAGGAAGGCTTACATGAGAAATGTGTCTGGTACCTTAAACTGCAGATATCTGGTGACACTGAGAACTGGTTTCAAAGATTGGGAAAATAATCACACTGAGGCGTTTTACTTCAAGTAGAACTATATTTATAGTTACAGCACATGGCTTTGAGCATTGTAGAATTCTGCACAGGCATAAGCATAATGCCAATACTTAGTGCACGCCAGCATTTGGATCTATTCAAAGTTTGGAGGAATTACATTGACTTACACACATTTAAGCAACCCAGCTTTAGAAATCTAGGCAACAGATGAAATACATTCAGACCTACTTTTGCTTTTCATATTGTTGTACCAAAGTGAACAGGAGTTTTAGTTGTACTGACTTGCAGGATTTTTAAAATTACACTGTACATGAAAACAACCAAAGCCAAGTCCTCTTGGTATTGTGAGTTGGGGACTGTGATGGTTAAGGTTGTGTGCCAACGTGGCTGGACCATGATTCTCAGTGGTTTGGAAATTATGATGTAGTCATCTCCTATGATAATGATACAATGTTAATCACTTCCATGATGAAATCTGCTATGGGCAGCCAATCAGCTGAAAGGGGGAGTTTCCTCAGGAGTATGTCCTGCTTCCAAAATATATGGAAGTTCTGGCCAAGCTCTCTGGCTTTTTGCTAGATCTGGATCCTGCATCTGACTCATCATCATCTGACCTGCAGTTCTCTGGACTTGAGCCAGCACCCTGCCTATTGCCTGCTGAGCTTGGAATTATTGCCTTGGCAGCCTCTGAGCCAGCAGCCTGCCATCTTACCTGCTGATCTTGGATTTGTCAGCCTCCATACAATACAGCCTGCTGTGTTGTCTGCCAGTCTTGGTTTGTCAGCCCCTGCAGCTACCTGAGTCAGGATAAGCCTCCAGCCTGATGTCCTGGGACTTGCCAAGCTCTAAAACTTCATGAGTTTTTTCCTTGAGATAAATATCTATCTAAGGAGCTCTTGTGGCATAGTGGGTAAGACATTTGGCTGCTAACCAGAAGGGCAGTGGTTCAAGCCCACCAGCTGCTCCATAGGAGGAAGATGAGGCAATCTACTTCTCCAAAGATTTACAGCCTTGGAAACCCAACAGGGGTTACTATGAGTCAGAATTGACTCAATGGCAATGGGTAGGTTATCTGTCTGTCTGTCTGTCTGTCTATGTGTCTGTAAGCCTCACAGGTTTTTCTGCTATAGAGAACCCAGCCTAAAGCAGGGACCTTTAGCCAACACTTGGTTCATCTGATTATTTGTCTAGACCAGGAGTCAGCAAACTTGTTTATAAAGATTCAGAAAATAGAATTCCCAGGTGTATAGTAGAGTTGACAAGGGACAAGGTTGTAGTCACTTCTTGGTCACAGCCAGCTACCCAGAGGGACCGAGTAGTTGAACCAGTGGGCTCAGGACCATAGTCACAGGGGACATCAAGCTCAATTGGCATAACATACTACACAAAACATTGTTCCACCTCCTACTTTGGCGAGTACTGACTGGGATCTTAAAAGCTTGCAAGCAACCATCTAGATGTAATGATGGGTCTCTCCTCATCCAGAGCAAAGAAGAATGAAGAAAACCAAAGATTCATGGAAAGAATTAGTCCTCACGACTGGTCCACCATGCGATCTGCAGCCTATACGACTGTGAGACCTGAAAAACTAGATGGTGCCTGGCTACCACTGTCAACCACTTGGAGGGGGATCTGTGTAGGAGATCCTGGATAGAGAGGGAGAAAAATGTGGAACAAAACTCAAAATCATTTGGAGAAAAAAAAGGGGGGTAGGGGACCAGGTTTGCTGGTCTGATAGAGCCTGGTGGAATGACTGAAACTGTGGCCCCTAGCTGCCCCTCAGGTTTGGAGTTGAACCCACACCTGTGGCTTCCAGCCAAACAAAAGACAGGCATATGAGTTGAACATTTACTGAAGGTAGATACACTCCTTGGAGAGAACAATCATGGGAGAAAGAAGGGCTGTTTATGCACAGGGAGACAGCTCAGGGGGACTGAGTACATGAAGGGATGGACACAGGGAAGAGTTGACTGTCAGGAGGAAATAGGAGGGGAGCTGTTGCATTGTGGTAAATTTAGTCAATGTCATGAGACGAAGTGTATGTGAACTGCTGTATGGAAAGTAAATTTGCTCTGTAAATTTTCACCCAAATTTCAATAAAAAAAACTTAAAAAAAGATTCAGAAAATAAATATTTTCAGATTTGTGGGCCATATGGTATCTGTCACAGTGACTCAACTCTGTCATTATAATGCAGAAGCAGCCCTGGGCAGTATATAAATGAATGAACATCCTTTATTTACAAAAGCAGGAGGCCAGTCCATGGGCTATAGTATGCCAACCTGTGGTCTCAAGTCTTCTACCCGTTCTATGCAACCTCCTTCCTGTTCTTTGACATTTAAGACTGGCACTAAATGGCTCATGAAAAACCAAATACTATTGGAGTATGGAGCCATGTCTTAATATTTACATTAGGATCTTTTTGTTTATATAAGATAAACAGAAGTAATGAGTTCATTATTGGTGCCCAACCTTCTCTTTTGAATGCAATGGTTCTTTTTTGAGCACCACTAACTATATTGGAATAGCTCTTAATCTGGCACTCCAAGTTGATAAGAGC